CTATTTTTGTTGCGACACTGGAAGGTGAGAGAGTTTACAGCCTCTGTGTGTAAATACAGAGGTTTCAAAACAGCGCTGACAGATGCTTTGTAAGAAAAATAAGTTATCAGACCCAGTCCATCCCTGTTTCTTATCTGCAATTAACTTTCACACACACACAATTCTCAGCAGCAGGGATTTGGAAGCTGGGCACAAAACCCTGCGGTGTTCCCTCCCTGCACGTTTCCCTAACTCTAGTGCTGGTACCTGATTGCTGCCAACACCACCCCAGAAACACCCCAACACACCCAAACTTTCCCAACCTCTTAACTCTTTAGTGGTTTCATAGAATCATAGTATCCTTTAGGTTGGAAGAGACCTTTAAGATCATCAAGTGCAACCATCAAGTCAACACTACTAAGTCCACTGCTAAAACAGATCAGAATCTGTCAGGGCTGGAAGGGACCACAAGGATCCCCCAGTTCCAACCCCTCTGCCATGAGCAGGGACACCTCCCACTAGATCAGGCTGCCCAGAGCCTCCTCCAGCCTGGCCTTAAAGACCCCCAGGGATGGGGCCTCAACCCCCTCCCTGGGCAACCCATTCCAGGGTCTCACCAATCTCACAGTGAAGAACTTCCTCACACCCAGCCTGAGGAATCCACGCCCTGACTCCTGTCAGCTCTAGCCCCGATCCAGCAACACGCTTCACTGCTGTGATGAAAGCTCCCGTGAGCTTCACACCAGCAGCCTCAGGTGCCAGCTGAGAGGTTCTTTTGGGCTGTGTTTAACTGCTGTAAGGGCAGCAGCCAGCTCCCCAGCAGCACAGCCCCCCAGCAGCACAGCCCTGCATCCCGGCCAGCACCGCCACCCGCGCGCATCCTCCGCGAGCGAAACAGTCACCGCAGAGCTAGTTTCCAGAGATGATTAAGCTTTTCCCTTTTACAGACAGCACGTAAAAGAAATGGAAAGTAAAGTTTAACAAAAAAAAAAAAAGAAGAAGAAAAAGAGACCCTTCTGGGACAATAGGAGGCAGTGAACTCGTCGCCGATGCGCCGCAGCTCCTGTGCAATCCAGATCTCGGGCTGGAGGTCGTCTGCTGGCGAGGGGGACTGCCACCGGGAGGCTGCAGGGATGAAACCAGAGCCCTTGACACGGCTGGACAGCAAAAAAAACCCACTCTGCTACCCTTGGCAAGACTCAGCGGGCTACTACAAACCTTCTTGATTGATTATTACTTCATAATTTGTTTTTAACACAGTTCCCAGGTGTTGTGCAGGTGCCACGTGACAGGCGGCACACACAGGACTAGTTGTAGAAGGTGTGGGTTGTTGGGCAGGCTTGAATTCCCCCTTGTTTTTATATTATTCTTATTTTATATTAT